ATTCACCCTGTCAGACAGCATTCTCTTTCTAGCCATCCATCCATCCATCCATCCATCCATTCAGCCATCCATCGTGTCCACCATCAGCTCATCACTGCTTGAGGTACGGGGAGAATAGTGAGAGAGTTAGGCAGTGAGTTCTCAAGGAGCTCACAATCTGGCAGGGGGGGATGCAGGAAAAGAAGAGTCATATAATAAATACGTGGTTAGAAGAGGAGTAACTATTCTGGGGAAAAGCGTAGTGACCTGGATGCTGGGGGAGCTGTTCTTTGTCACTGATCACACTCTCCGTGGAAGAGTCGCTGTCACCCCAGGAAGCCATTTATTCCCATTGTCGGTCCTCAGCATTGATTTCAGAATAAAGGTTATACGCCCGCTCCTCCTCCCCTCACCTAAGGGATTCTGGATATTTTGGAAGGAATGAGGTGCAATTTAGAAATTAATTAAAAACAACTTCTGGGAATGCATATATATAAATGAAGGTCCACTTGATATTTCAAAGATATTAAAGGTACTAACTTTTAATTATTTTCTCTGTAGTTATAATCTACCTTTGATAATGAAATAAGATAAATTATTTTCTCTGTAGTTGTAATCTACCTTTGATAATGAAATAAGGTAAACATAATATTGGTACCTGCTGTAGTCAATCTGTACCCCACAATGTCACTTTTAGAATAAAAATGTGAGCTTCCTCCATCTCCTCCCCCAAACGATTCCCTTCCTCCCCTCTGCCTCCCTGCCTTTTAGCAAATATTTTGGGAAGTCAAATGGGACTCCCACAGTCTAACATGTAATGGTAAGAAAGTCAACAAAGCACTAGCCGGCTTGGCTCAGAGGATAGAGCGTCAGCCTGCTGACTGAAGGGTCCCAGGTTCAATTCCGGCCAAGGGCACATGCCCGGGTTGTGGGCTCCATCCCCAGTAGGGGGTGTGCAGGAGGCAGCCGATCAGTGATTCTCTCTCATCATTGGTGTTTCTATCTCGCTCTCCTTCTCCCTTCAATAAAGAAATATATATATAAAAAGAAAGTCAACACAAATCACGTAGACCTATGAAAGTAGCTTCCAGGAGCACACATGGACCAGCACCATCTACCCACTGCAGCTCGTCAGCAGACTGTGGTCCTGAGCCAGAACGGGAGCGGATGACACGGCACACGGCTGGGACCTTGTCTGCTCTCAAGGTCCAGGAAGGACCCTCCCAGCGGGTCCCACATGGACTCCTAAGGCCCCAGGACATGTCTGACAGAACTCTGCAATGCCAGGGCAGCTAGAACGGGCCTCTGGTGCCAACATTTAAGCAGCGGGAGGGCCCGTCTCCCAGGAACCACCTGGCGCCTGCAGGGGAGCACCAGTCGTGTGGCCGAGGGGTTAGGGACACCCTTCCCTTTCTGGGGAACCACCTGGGTCTGCACCCGCCTTTCTCTGCCGCGACCGAGGCAGGGCTGCCCGCACCCTCGCCTGGTCTGCAGCCGGGACCCCGCACGCACGGGAGCAGGCCTGCGGCTCAGCCCGGCCTCGCAGCCAGAAGCACCGGACGGCCAGGTATGTTGAAACAAATGATCAGATGAGCCCCGGAGCGGACCCGCTTTGCCCAGGGGCAGTGTCTGCTGTCACCTCCCGCGGCCGCGGGAGTGTCAGGAAGTGAGGACACCGTGTGCGCAGGTGTCCGGTGCGGGCGGCCCGGCCGGCGCCGCTCTCCTCGGGGACAGGGCGAAGCGATGATTTCATCCTAAACGCGGTAAGGAGGGCAGATTCCCGTTACTCACGCCCAGGTGAGAAAGAAAACCCCATTTTGTAAAACAAAGCAAAACAAAACAAAACAAAACACCCCCCTGCTATTTGGAATTTTCTGCTGTTTTTCTTAGATGGCCTCTTATTCTAAAAAAAATTACTTTCTATCCTGCTTTAGCCTGTTTGAATAATGATGAAGATAAACTTAGCTGTATGACCTTGTAGGCCAGAGACTAGATATGCCCATAATCTCAATGCCATGCCAGGTGCATTTTTTTTTTTTTTTAAATTGGATAGAATTGTGTTGTTTTCAAGGCCAGCATTGAGATAACCACTAAGTGCATATAGGGCTGGCTCTTTGATAAAAAGGGAAGTTCTGCTTGTAGCCTTGCTTAGAATTCGAATTCATTTTCTCTAAGCCCACCGCGGTGAATAAAGTGAATCTCTCCAAACTCTCCTGCATTGTTTGATTGTTCGGGAACTCGGTAACACAGGAACAGCAGCATGTCCGCACCGCTCCCCGCTGTGCCTTTCCAGGTGGGTTACCTTCTGAGCCAGAGAAATCCGTGCTCAGAGGGTGCAGTGCCTCACCCCAGGCTGCCAGGACCTGACAGGAGAGCGGCTTCCCCAGGTGCTGGGGCCCGGAGGGAGGCTCACGCTGGGCTGGGCTACAGGGGGGCAGCTCCTGACAGCACACCCGCTTCTCGGAGGAAATGCCTGATTCCTCCCATCTCATCGCTGTCTTACATTTCCACCTGGGCCCGCCCTGTGGTGCAGGACTGCTCCAGCGCCGGTTTGGCAACCATGACCCCGAGTTAACCCGAGTCCTCAGTTTAGATTCCTCTGAGAGAATCCACAAGGAACTCAACTGCTGAATTAAACTCTGTCCTTTGTTTTTTTTTTTCTTTTTTCTTTTTTAAAGAATATGTTTCCAACAGGTTGTTATGACTTCAGATTTTTTTGAATGACCGAGACCAAACACATACACAAAAATCCTTCAGAGAATATTTGCAAATTATCCGAACTGGTGGGAAGTGAAGACTAAAAACAAAGTTATCTTTACAAATATCTAGAACATGTTAATAAATTGACCAGTGATAGTAACTGCACCAATACCAAAACAATACCATAAAGACTAGATTTTCCAGGAAATCCCTTTGTGTCACTTAGAAAAAAATGTTGGAAATCCTTTCTAAACACAAAGGTTATTCTAGCAAGAAAACGGTCCTTCTTGTGTGATTCCACATCACGCCAGAGATCTGAAAGCACAGGGCCTCAGACCTTGCAGCAACCTATGGCAAGTCTCAGCCAGCCCCTCATTTCCATAGACAGGACCCGGAAGTGAGAGGCCAGGTTGCTATCCACGGTCACACAGCTGACCGTGGGCAAAGCCAGGCCTGGACAGCTGGCCTGAGTGCCCACTGACCCTGCAGGCACGCCAGCCTATGCCCCTGCTTAACAACTTCATTCCAAAAGTGGAGGGACACTGGGAAATACATAGACTGACTCCATGACAAGGAAGATTCTCCTTGTAATTGCTTCCTTCTCCTTGTAATTGTCTCTTTCCCCTACAGGTGGGACACAGAAAACTCCAGTTAGAGAAAATGTTGGATAAATTAAAATGTTAAGGTATGCCTAGTCATGCTTTAACATTCCTTTGAATTAGCTAGACAATAGCCTCGCTTTTCTGGGGAAGAAAAGAAAAAAACCACTCCAGGTGCCTCGAATGCTCCTGTCGTTTGGAAATCGCTGCACAATGGCTACATTCCCCAGGTGGCTCCTCACCACCTGGCGTGGAACAGATATGTCACCACCAGAGTCCCTTCTGTGTTTCAACAAATGAACAAAAAAATAAAAAAATTCAAATGTAAAATGCTCTCTTTTTAATTACTAAATTAAGAAAGTTAAACAATTTAAAAGTGTAAACTCACAAATAAATCATAACAAAAAAGGAATTAAGACTTCAGAGTTGCTACTCAGTATTAAAAACTCAATAGAAATAGGCTTTTTTTTTTTGATTTGTTGTTGTTAAACATGTAATTCAAGGTTGGTACAAACAGCAACTAAAAACGTAATACTTTTTTTGTGTGCATCCCCATGAAATGTCAAGTAGTGCATAGTTATTCCCCCGGAGAGCTGTCGGACACACAGGAAGTCATTTCATTAGCAGTACAGGACATGGAAACACTCAGTTCACAACGGGAAGTGCACAGCCCCCACCTTCACCTTCCTGGGACTTTTAGTTGCATGAGAAAGTTTAGCAGGTTGCCATGACTACAATGCTATGGGTTTTTAGACCATTTAAATGTGGTTACAAGATTTATTAAATAAAAAAAAAGTTTGAAACATTTCAGCATTCATATTTTTATACAAGGAGTTTGCGTGGTATCCGTCTTCCAGTTCCCTTGGTAGTTTGGCCGTTGGCTGGCTTAAATATGCCCACTTTTAAGTTTCAAGAACAGATCGCAGTACGTCGAAGCAAATACTGGAGACAGGCCTTGTGAGTTCACCCTGGGGCTGCTGAAAAGAGTCAACCTAACAGCCATCTATAGGTATAGTCATGAGTCAAAAGAGTGCAATCCAAATTAAAAAAAAAACTTCATGCTCTGAAAAAGGCAAAAATGAGGCCCCTGGTTTTTCAGAATAACATCAGTGCTTTTCTACTGACTTTGCAGTAAGATCCTCACTCTGCATCCTGAAGCTGTGGTCCAGGCTGGCCATGGTCTCCACGTTAGCACCCACATGGTGTATGTACAGGGACATATATGTTATATGTATTCATATTTGTAAAAAAGAAAAAAACAAACACCTGTCCTGATTGTTTTTTGTTAAAACATGAAAAAAAATTTTATTGTTTTAGACAAAGAGGCCACTTTTGGAAAATAATACTTTTTTTTTTTTTAGTTGAATCAGGTGAAGACAGTTAAAATCACATAGGATTTGCATTTTTAAAAAAGGAAAGCACTGGGATTGTTGGCACTGGAGTAACTATTTACACTGAACAGAGGTTTGGCCTTTTATGTGACATACAATGCATTTTCCAAAGTCTGAGAGATAACAAGGTCTGTCTTGTATGCTTCACAGAGGAGGTTCGGATTGGGGGACACGTGTCATCGATGAGGGCCATGGAAGTTCGTCAGCTTCAGAGTCACATGCAATCTGATCCTGGACGGTTCTGGCTGCCCCGGCAGCTGGCTGGCTACGGATGGAAAGCTAATGGGGAGGGGCGGAGCCTCTGGGACAGGCCTCTCTGCTGACCCCGGTCTCACAGGTTTTCTCCCGGCTGGTACTGCGGCTCTGTGGCCGTGAAGTAGTCTTCCAGGAAGCCCTGTAAGTACTCGAAAGTGGGCCGTTCCTCGGGGTCCTTTTTCCAGCAGTGGATCATGAGCTCGTGCAGAGAGATGGGGCAGTCCTGCGGGCAGGGCATCCTGTAGCCGCGCTCCACCTGCTCCAGCACCTCCCGGTTGTTCATGCCTGCAAAGACAGGGGTGGTGAGAGCGGGCACCTTCAGCCCCCAGCCCTGCCCCTCCCCTTCTTCCTATCTTGAGCCTTCCCGGGAAGCCGTGCTGAGGCCCCCACCTTTAACGGGACAGCACGCTGCTCAGAAATAAAAAAGGAACGCATGACTGGTACACACAAAAACCCAGATGATGAACCTCAAAAGTGTTACAAGTGAAAGAAGCCAGACGCAAAAGGTAACATACCGTATGACTTCATTTCTATAAAATTCTAGAAAAGGCCAACGTGCAGTGATAGAAAGCAGATCAGTGGTGGCCAGGAGGGGCCGGAGCGCCCGCAGAGGGGCCCGGGTGTGTGGAGGGGAGATGGAAATGCTCTCCATCAGGGCTCAGCAAGCTAGCCAGGGAAGGCCGGAGAGTAAATCAGGCTTTGCAGGTTGCATATATGTATATATATTTAACTCTTTAAAAATGTACAAAACAAAAACAGGGTGGAGCTGTGTTTGGTCCCCGGGCAGCATTTGCCCTATATCCTGTATAGGGTGGTGTGACGGCTTAGGTTTGTCAAACTAACTGTATCCTAAAAATTGTCGAATCCTATTGTATGTAGAACTACATTCCAATCAAGATGACACAGACATATGGATGAAGCCGACAAAAAGAAAAAGCCCACGGAATGAAAACACACCGTTTCTTGGGTAGAGCATCTGTAAGCGCCATTTCCGAAGTTCGCAAATTAGCTTTCCTTCTGCCCGGCAAGCATGGTGCCCTATTGTCCGAGATCTGCCATCATGCCACGCTGGGCCCTGTCTGACCCCGTGACCCTGGGGTTTGTGAGACTGATGGGGAGACCCATCAGGGCCAGCGTTTCCCGATTACTGCGGACAGGCCATCTGTCATCTGAGACCTCGGTGACCCTCTGGGCTGCTGCCTCGGGGAACACAAGGCTGCTCAGCGGTGGCAGGAGGCATCGGAGAGACTGCTCACTCTCTGGGGAGAGCCGCCCCCTGCACGGTGGCCTCCATGACAGATCAGGAAATACCACACTTGGGGTGAGGCGAATGCCCCGACCCCGTTCCGTTCATCACCAACAGGCACCGTTCTCCCGGTTTCCTTCCCTTTTGTTCCGTTCCGTGTCACGTTCTGCCATCGCCTGCCAAGCCCTTGTGTGTTTTGGCTGCTCCTTGGCCCTGAGCCTGTAATCTGGACTCCTCCTCAACTGTCTCTGATAGTTGACAAAAAAAGCAAGAACAGGATTTGAAGCCATACAGAAACCCAGATTTCTTCCCTGTCTCTCAGGGCATAGAGGTCAGGACAGAGCGGGTGCACGCAGCAGCTCCCTTAATTCTGGGAGGCTGCCCCCTCCGCGGGGCCCGGAGTCTGTCCAGAGGAGCTGGCCCCGTGCACAGCCCTGCCTTCCTGTGGAGGCGACACCCAGACTTCGGGACCCGGTGCCAGTTCACTTTGTTTTGTTGTTATTGTTGGAGCTGGTTTACCCTGGCTCCTGTGGCTGCCAACCACAGCCCTGTCAGTCACAGGCCTGTCCGATGCTTTTCGGGTGCTTTCTTACTCCGCCACCCCAGTTCCTTGAGGTGATAGAATCCACATGTTCTTTCCACTGTACTGAAGTAGGCCTTCACCTCGATTATTGTAACATTACTCCCTCACATTTCAGGGTGTGAATGAGTCTGGGTCCCCATATCCTGCCAGACTTCACAGATGCTCCCTTCCGTTGGACGTTTGGTCAGCTAGGTGGCTGATTAGTGTATTAGCTCCAATTGCTGAAACTCCCTAGGAAAACTCAGGGCGGGGAGCTGGAACAAGTGGAGGAGCCTGGAGCAGCTGGTGCAGGGCCAGAATTTCCTTACCCACAGCTCACAAACCCGGCCAGCTCTGAAAACCCAAAGTTCTGGTAACTACTCACTTGGCAGCAAAACTTGATCTGAACTGATTGCACTGGGACATAAAACCTGGCCCGACAGGAGGCTATTTAGTGCTTGTCTGTATTCACAGGTAATCCTGCAGACGGAAACATGTTTTTTTTTTTTTAATATATTTTATTGATTTTGTACAGAGAGGAAGGGAGAGAGATAGAGAGTTAGAAACATCGATGAGAGAGAGTCATCGATCAGCTGCCTCTTGTGCACCCCCTCCTGGGGATATGCCCGCAACCAAGGTTCATGCCCTTGACCGGAATCGAACCTGGGACCCTTCAGTCCCCAAGCCGACGCTCTATCCATTGAGCCAAACCGGTCTTAGCAGGAAGCGTGTTTGAATAGAGTGCTGCCTAGACTCTCCTAGGGTGTTGTATGATGTATGGTCTGAGCACCGAATGGGCTTAAAAAAAGTCTCATCTGGAAGCATATCCATTCCCCAGGGTTTTTGCTGGGAAGTCCTGGCAGGAGTGGCAGCAGCGGGAAAGGTTAGAAAGAGAGCGTAATGGCTTATCTGGACTGGCCTTCTCCAAAGCGTTTCCCTGTCTGTCAGCACAGCCCTTGGTTTCATAGCATCTCAGAAGCCACAGGGCTGGGACTGCAGAAGTCGCCCTGTCCCCACCCTCGCCAGGAGCCAGGAGGAACTGGAGGAAAGACAACCAGAAGGTGAACCCCGAGGCCTGACAGGCCCTTCTGAGATAGTTCCACCTCTCCCCACCCCACGCCTTCTGGAGCCGCATTCTGGCACTGAGACCGCCCTGCACGGCACCAGAGTCTAATTGGTCATTCAATTGCTCCGCGGAGCTTATGTCGGTAAATGTTTCATTTCATTAAGAATAACACTTCTGAAATAGAAAGATTTCATGTATTTTTTAAAAACTCTAAGTTTAATCTCCACCAACAGAAAGTTTAACTGATCAATTGGGTCCGGCCTATTTTTCTGGTGCTCGGTCCAAGCCTGGGACCCAGCACACACAGTACACATGGAGAGCAGACGTAACCAGCCCATGCACTGGGCCAAACAGAAACCCACTGATGACGGCGTTGCCAGGGAAGTGGGGACAAGCCAGGGGACTTGGCTGACAGGGGCCGGCTCATTTCCACCCACCCGCCAGGCGGCACCCGCACAGCTGACCCGCAGCCCCAGCGCCTCCAGGCAGGCCTTGGCAGCAGTAACCGCACCACCGAGGAATGCCCCTTGGAGGCCGCAGGCTAGCTGCTGCTCTACAAGCCATGGCCAGTTTGAGTGGACCGTGTCACAGTGAAAGCCCAGTATGAGAATACAGCTCTGAAACTTCGAAAAATTGTATTTATCCCAAGAATTTCTTTTTTACCCCAAATGGATTTTACTCTGCCTACTACTCTAAGATGAGCGTATTTCACTTTTTCTGTTTTAGATGGTTCCATATTTTTGTTACAAAGAAAACTGTTATTTCTCCTCTTTTAGCCACTTTTCCCAAGACGTTCCCTTGGCTTGTGTGCCTGGAGGGAAGGGCAGGGCCTGGGAAGGAATCTGCAGGAGCTTGTGTGCCAGGCGGCCAGAGACAGAAGGACGCAGGGACCCAGGAGAAAAGCACCCTTTCCAGTACTTTTCTAAGTGACAAGAGGACAGTGAGGGAGGAAGGTGCTTGGGAGTGATTCCCTTCCCTTCCCTCCCCTTCCCCTTCCCCTTCCCCTTCCCCTTCCCCTTCCCCTTCCCCTTTCCTTCCCCCTCCCCCTCCCCCTCCCCTCCCCTCCCCTCCCCTCCCCTCCCCTCCCCTCCCCTCCCCTCCCCTCCCCTCCCCTCCCCTCCCCTCCCCTTCCTTCCTTCCTTCCTTCCTTCCTTCCTTCCTTCCTTCCTTCCTTCCTTCCTTCCTTCCTTCCTTCCTTCCTTTCTTTTTTCCTTTCTTTCCTTTCTTTCCTTTCTTTCCCTTCTTCAGTGGGAAGAATGCCAGGAGAGAAAAAGAACAGACAGAAACTTTGAAACACAGTGTATGGGCACACTTTTGGGACACACTCATCAGTAGCTGGGGTCTCCCAGTTTCCCAGTGGGAGCTGTGACGGAGACCACTTCTCAGCAGGAGGATGGTCTCTGCCAGCCCCTAGTGTCTGACCATGGCAGGTGCCATAATCACCAAGGGTGTCCAGCTTCCCCCCCTCCACGTCCATCAGAGAAGGGGCGAGGGCCTGGCTGCCAGCAAGCACAGACACCTGCCCCTGCCCCCAACGCTGCCCGCCTGGGCCCCCACTGCCGCGCCTGCCTCCTGCTGCCTGCTGGAGCCAGGCAAGTGGGCTTGCTTCCCTGTCCCTCTTCCGCATCCTCCCTGCGGCCTCTTGTCACCATGGATGTTGGGCCTTCCAACATGTCTGATGGCATCCTATCCCTTTGGGCTGCCCAAAGCACGGCAGCCGCCTCTCCAGCCAAGTGGACTGTGCCCACTCCCGCCATTATCCCTACTAAATCCTCGTCCTGGCTTCCTCTTGGTCTCCGGATTCATGTTGTTTCCAGCTCTCACTTTCCAGCCCGCACTGCGCTCTGGCTGCCAGCAGTGCCTGTTCCCACAGGTGTGTGTTTCTCTCCCTTCTCCCCTTTTGGTCCCCGCCCCCCTTCACACTTCCCCATTCCTCCTCTTTGAGCTCTGCAGTGCCTCCTCCTCCTCCTTTGAGATCCTTTAGGGAAGAAAACCCCTCACGTTCATGGGCAGAGCCACTGCGTTACTTCCAGCGGCATCGCTCAGTGTCTTTCACCAGGTGGCTCCCTGGCCTCAGTTTCTCCGCGTGTCAGCAAAACACCCCACCGTTCGCTGTGCCTTCGGCTGTTTGGAAAAAAATATCCCATAGGAAAGGGAGTGTTTTGCTTTACACAGTCCCTTTTTGTGCCGCTTCCTTAGAGGGGTCTTGGAGCGTGGGACCTTGAAGTGTTATCTGTTCGCGTCTGTACTTGGACGTGACCGTGGGCTGCAGGAGCCTGGCCCTCTGAGCCACCGAAACACCTGAGCACGGTGACACCGGGGGTGACATCTGAAAGCCGAGCTTCCCATGCAGAGGCGGCGGTCTCCTGTGCACAGGCTTCCGTCAGAGGCCCCTCGGCTTCGAGGCATGG